AACGAGCATACAGTCCACCTGATGGTAAGTGGTTGCTGTGACCCATAGACATCCACATCTATCCTCAATAAAGAATCAAAATGCAGATGCGTCGTCACCCGTGAGGACTAAGATGGAATGCCTCTTTTCCAGTAAAAATGCTCTCCGGTTCTCTACACTCACCATACGAAACACAGCAGTTTCAAGCTGCCATTTTACGCTTGTGTTCTTTGAGAGCGTGGTCCTACCCCGGTCAAGCCGACCCATTCGTGCTACAACTATACTACTAATATAGCTGCATAATGGCTCTACCATGTAAGTAAATAAAAGGCCGGAACCCATCCTCCTCCCAGTCAGACTCCTAAACAGAAGATGAGTCCTAGCACTTGGCAAGCGCACGTCTCATGGAGGCTGCCTCTTCGCACCGTTACCAAATTATCCGGTTAATGACCAGTTTTCACTTAGAGCTATATTATAGTGCCAAAATATTTGTGGCAAACATTAGAGTTTGAACGTTCTTCTTAAGTTTTTTTCTAACAGCAAGAAAACACTCCAGCAGGGCTAGCATGGGCAGGAGACAATTTTATCCCCGGGGAAACGAGAAAATATTTATGCCCTCGCTTAGTTTTATCCACCCTTCGAGCAGGGGCACACCGGTGGATATAATATCCACAGTAGATAAAATGGGAGATAGACTTAGATAGATTTTTTTTTTGTATGAATATCAACTTACGTCCAATGAACTAGGATATAATTGTCCCTTTCAAATGTCAAAAAAGCATATTTATTTATCTTTCATTTGGCTCCATGCTTGCGTTATGTCAAATGAGGATATACTTCTCTCCGTTGCCGTGGTTTGGCATAAGGACAAGATAATTTTATCTCTTGTCAGTGGATATAATCGGGGGATACATTTTTTGTCCCCAGCCCATGCTAGTCGTGCTGTTTTGTACATTTCTTAGGGAAGACCTATAGGTCAACAGAGGAGTAGTGAGTAAATCTAAACCATTCTCCAATAAAGTTAATCACACACAAAATTTCATCAAAATCGGTCCAGCTGTTTGGGAGTTTAGTTACATACACATACTAATAAGACAGAATAATTATATAATATACATGTATTATACATATAAACCTTCTTGAATCATTATGTCTATCGATGAAAACCGCATCATTTTGACGTGACAACGTCTTATAATTCGATGAAGCTGGCTGCATGACTCATGCGGCGTTACCTCGCTCTGAGGCGTTCCATTTAAGGTTTGAAGTGCAAGCGAGAGCGCGGAACGAGCGACAAAGAGGCACAATCGGCCTCCGCGTTTGGCAACATTCGACATCTGTCTCTCTCCTACTTGAGTGAGCGATGCGTCCGCATGGACAGCTGCTATACAATAATACATTTACATGTTTTCGTCAAGTATGAAGTGCAGTGAAAAGTGAATGTGGTGTCAATTGTTTATAGCAACATTTTCTTATGACCTTGTCACGTTCAACTATCGTCAGTAAACCGACTTTACAGACAACAACTTTTTTTATACTATGTAGAGATCTTCCCTCTTCCTTTGACCGTAGGACAAATGGACGCTCGGCGTCTCTATAGTCTCTACCAAAAGACCTACGAGCTGTTGTAGACGTAGCATGCGCATTCGAACCAAACGGTTTGTTTCGTTGTTTGTAATACTCGAATGCCACACTCTTGTAATAGTCAAGGTTGGTTAAAATAAAACAACAATAGTCTTAAAAACATTATATTTAAAATAATACATGCTAGTACCTAAAAACATATATTTTGAGATCGAGTGAGATAATAATAATTTAATAATACAGACATGTTAATGATAATTGTAAGTAACAAATGTGATGCCCGTTTTATTTAAATTAGTAATTTATATTTATAAAAAAATTAGTAAGAGCTATAAAAGAAATTACAAAATAAAATGTAGATAAAATAAGAATTAAAATTAAGTAACAGGGAAAAAATAATTAAGGACAACCTATATATAAATATACGAATGAAGAATTGTATACCAAAATAGTTAATTACTATAGTATACATATACAATATTTAATTAAACATAATAAATAAATTATTGAACTCTGCGTTTATCTACGTTATGTACTAAAATAATTGAAGATTCTAATAAATAATTTTTAACAAAATTATCAGTCGGTAAATCGCAGAATGAGTTATAATTATTATGAGTGCTTTACGCAACATTTCATAACTAATTTTTCGTGTTTGTCTCATAATATTAATTTATGTTTCTATACTAAACTTTGATTTTAAAAGCAACACCTATTCACGCAAAACTTTCGTATGCATCGGTCACACACATCGCGATAAAACTTCGCCTTCGGCCTAGCACGAACGTACATGAGTAAGAACATAGACAAAGCTTCTTAATAACGTGCAAAATAGTTACCTATTTTGGTAGGGTTGTCACAATAGGCGAAGACAAATTAAACAAAACAATATCTATCATATTATTGCATTGTCACTGAAGTTACAGTATACAAAATTTCAACTCAATCAGACATGGTTCAAATGGTTTTTTCCAGTCTCTACACGTACGCGACAAGCGGCCAGTGGTCACGCACACATGCCCCGCGTGCTTGTGTAGTGCAATTGATTCACGCGGTTATATAAAGCTTTATCTCTGTTCCGTTTATTTATCGTACTCATAGATTACCCCCATCGTACTCATGTGGCGAAGGTGCCTGGCCACACTGCGCGTTGTAAATTTTATCGCGCTAAACACACGCTAAACACAAAATGGACGCCACGGTCGCTCTGTATTATATGACTGTGAATAATTATTTTTTATTACTGTGTCAATTTTTAAAAAATAAGAAAAATATATAAATAATATTGGCTCGGACTCGTAATTACTTATAAATTCCAATTTTTTTTCATTACACCAATCCATGTCGGCAATACGTTGCAAACCCTAATTCACTTTGACACATCCGCTACGCACGATGTATGTAGGCACTGGGCAGACTGAAGTGTGGCCGCACACGCGAAGTCCATTGTGATAATGCCTCCTCTACACTAGTCGCGAAGTAACTTTGACGAAGTGCTCGTCGAAGTCGATTGCATCCGAAGAATGTGACCACACACTCGTGCTACTTCGCGAAGAGCTCAGTCAAGAGGCAGCTGCTATAGGTACCTAATTGTGTGAACAGTACGACGTCAATGCGTTAACTAAATAAATTATTGTTTAGAAAGCTACATATCTAATATTTATATATAAAAAAATATTTATAACTGGCGTAAGCCGAGTAGTGTAGTGAGACGCTTCGTGTAACTTCGGGGTACTTCGCAAAGTCCTTTGACTCTGGCGCAAAAAACCGACAGCGATCGGAAGTCGCCCGAGGCGTAGCGAGGTTGCACGAAGCGGCGAATCGAAGTACCTCTCTACACTATTCGCCTCGTCCAACTTCAATCTACTTCGCGAGTAGTGTAGAGGAGGCATAAAACCCTTTGTAACCAAATATTCGCGCTAGCGAAATGTGTGGCCGTCCTTAGTGAATACTTCGTCACTTCGTGCGAAGTTTCAAGCACATCGCTTCGCTGTCGGTAAATTATCGCATTTCAAAGGGTTTTATCGAAATGGACTTCGCGTGTGCGGCCACACTTCAGTCTGCCCACAGACAACATCGTGCGTAGCGGATGCGTCAAAGTAAATTGGGGTTTTCGACGTATTTCCGATATAGATTAGTGCAATGAAAAAAAATGACATTATCAGTAATCACGAGTCCGAGCCGAGTATTATATATAATATATTAATGTCTTATTTTTTAAAAACTGACAATAATGAAAAATAATAATTCGCTGCCATATAATGCAGAGCCACCGTGGCGTCCATTTTGTATTTAGTGAGTGTATAGCGCGATAAACTTTACAACGCGCAGTGTGGCCAAGTACCTTTACGGTAGGGCGAAGGCGAACTTTTATTTATGTGTGTTACATTGTGTGTAGCCAAGGCATAACAGAGTTAACAATAAAAAAATAGTGGCATGTCTACTCAGTTTTTTTTAATGTTTAATTCAACAATTTTTAGGTACCTAATACAAATAAAGCTGTTCTGATTTTTAGAGCTATTAACAAAGCAAATAGCGTATATTTATATATAATAGACAATTTTAAGCAATAATTGTTGAATGAAGCATGACATTGATCGACATTTTAGCTTTTATAGCTTTAGTATAAAAGTAACTTTAGATGAAAATTAATTTCTATTCGTTATAAGCTTATCCGCCATTACCCTTTAAAAGTATAAGTATGTAATATTAAGTAAGTAAGAAATGATAATAAGTAAGGAGTTATCTAAATCATATTATTTCGTATCTCTAGAACAGCAATATTGATTCGTTGAGATTCTTTTCTGAATATTAAGGTACCAAATTATGAATAATTTAAATTATAAATCCTGCAATTAATTTATAAAAATATTATATTAAACATAATCAAAACAAATTTCTTTATTATTTGAACAATTTATTTTCCGCTTTTTTTTAATTCCGCTCATAATTATTACTAGTCCTACATATCAAACGCACTATTTTAAAATATTTGTATTTTTTTCTGTCTTCATCATCTTTATCGCAAGCCCTTTGCAAGTTTTGACTTCGTTGAGTATAATATACCTCTAGCCTTTTCTATACTCAACAAAAATATCTAAATGAACTTATTTTATTGAAGAAAAAATTTGTTGATTTGTTGATTCATGACAGTCTCACTTACTGTTGTCTTGTTTTGTTTCGTGTAGATAAACATTATTAGAATTGCCTAGAACTGGAAATAATATTAGAATCAAAATATAATATTACTCTATAAAATAAAATAAAAAACTGACTTATATTTTATCTTAAAACTAAAACACTTGTGAAAAATATTGTTACTTTGTTAAACTTTTTTTAAAACACGTGACTTATGCAAATCTTCATTGAAATGCTAGAATACGAACAAAGGTTACAGTGACGTAACGCAGAAGTTTTCCTTTATTCCTGATGTTTAGCTACCGCTTTGAAGTTTCCTGGTTGTTGTGCCCGGCTGACTCCTTACTGAGCTCGGAGAGGGACCTTGCGCGCTTCATGCTAGATGAAAATTTTGTTTTCATAATATTTTATTTTTATTTTTATATACATTTAATACCAACACTCATTTTCAAGTGTTAGAAATTGTACTATATCTGTGTCCATACTATGTGTAACTTTCTTTGTACAATAAAATAGCAAAACAAGCAAATAAAAGTTTTATTGACAGTTTTAAAACTATAAAGAAAAACTCAGTTCAAAGAGTATGTACTGGGTTTTAAATTTGTATTTATTTTAATTTTTTTAAAGTATGCAAATTATTATATAAAAAAAAGTGTTTTCAATATTATTACTAGCCACAAATTACTGTGGTTTAAAAAGTTTTCTAAGATATTTATATGTTTTTTTTCTTTATATTATTATTCGCGCGTATTCATTGGAATAATTTCAATAGTAAATCAACCGAATTGAAACGTTCATACCTTTACAACGTTCTGCCAAAATTTCAAAGCCATTGGCGAAGAATTTTCGGAGACTTAACAAATTGAACAAACGAATAATTAATTTTTTATTTATTAAATACATTGCGAAATACCGAAAACAGAAATATTAAAAAATATACATTTAATATATTTTACAAGATGCACGCTCACACTCTTCATATTCCATTACTTTATATTCTGCCGGAATATTAAAGAATCTAAATATTGAGAACAAATTGGCTTAAGAATAATTACTTATTATTGCAGATGCAATAAAGCCACGCGTTAGTGACTGCTCATTTTTTTTTATTTGACGAAGAGGGGAAGGGAGTAAAATATTTTTATCGCATGCAAATCTAAATAGTATCTGTATTCCTTGGTAGAATTTTACCTCTCGTGGTCGGCGAAGTCTACATCGGGCGGCAGGTGCATGGAATGGCGGCCCGCGAGCCGTTGCAACAGTCTCGCGGAGGAGCGCCTCAGCGATTCGCGAAGTTTCGAGAAACTTGCACTGCGGAACACTTCGGCCGAGCCCTGCCGCGCGATTGTTATGCAATTTACACTCAACTTTGCTTCACTTTTAACCAATATAAGCAAATATTAACACTCAACTACGTATTTACTTACGTATTTAACCACCACTGCGTGTAATTTTGAAATCCCATGTATGACAAATTTGTTCACTATTGGTTTAAGAGATCATTTGAAATGTTAGTGCACTTTTATCTAACTTAAGCTGACAAAAATATTTGAATGCCTTCCAAATTCAAGAAAATTATCCAAATTTAGGATCCACTGCGTAATTTTGAAACCCCGTGTATAACAAGATGTGTTCGCTATTTAGTTATTTGAAATGTGAGTGCACTTTTAGCTAACACAAGCAAACAAAAATATTTAATTCCCTTCTATTTTATTGTAATAACATTATTTTAGTGCATTTTATCCTTACATAAGATGATAGTGTGAGGAGTTGTCTGTTATCTATACCATCATATCAGTTCAATCACGCTGAAACGGCTCAGTGGATTTTAATGTAATTCGATACTGAGATACAGACCCAAAACAGGAGGCGGGTAACAGTACATAGCTAGCATTTGTTTTATAAATGAGCCGCCATGCAAGCTAACGCCTGAAGTGAATTGGCGGGAAAGTTTGACAGTTCAGAAATTTCTTATGTACTTAATTAGTTATTATGAAATCTAAAATGATACTTAGTGAATTCTGCATAAATTTTACAGACCAAACATTTATTGAACAGATGCTGTCATGCATCTAAACAACTAACAGCAAAAGCCGTTAAATAACGATAATGTCGTGGATGGTGAATCATTGGTTTGTTTTTTCAATTTGATTACTTTAATGTATAAATTGCATAACACAGTAGACTCGCCATTAAAAGCTTAATTAAAAATAAACGAAAATAAAACAAATGTCATAATATTACATAAATATTTATTAACAATAAAAAAATACTATTCGACAACGCGGTATCGAAACGAAACAAAATCAAAAAGAATCTGGAATACCTGTTGCGAGGAGTTTGGATACAATGGAGATTCTTAATCATTTACATTTTTGTATTCAGATTCCGTTATAACTGTATTTTAATATTAAAAATTGTTTCCATAATAAAAAGGCATTAAAAATTGTAATTCTCAAGCAGCACCCGCATATAAAATAAAATCAATGTATATAAAAATACTATATTAATATTTATCACCTAAGCTCTCACATATAGCTTAACCAAACATACTCTACCCACTGGAATGAACCTTATTACTGATTATAAGAGAAGAAACAAGAATAGTAAAAGACCCAGTAAACAGATTTAAAAAAAATTCTAAACATTCGTAATAATAAAATCACATTCATGTATTCTTCTATAAAGAACACAACAATTATGACATCCGCAAATTAAAAATTATTTCGTAAGCTAATAAAATAAAATTGCCGACTGGAAACTTACACAATTATAAATATTTTAGATTAAATTTGAATTAAATAAATGCAATTTAAAATTTCGCCAGAGCCAAATATATATAATTAATATATTCAAAGTAAACATATAGTTATATCAAAACTGTTTTTTATTGCGTAAATGCACCGTTTTCCTATCAGTAAATTAGAATTCAATGGAATAAAAGTGCTCTGGAAAATTAAGTTGAAATTATATTAATAAATTAAAATAAAATGTACCTATATAAAATGACACTCTCCAACAACATTTCGTCATGATGGTAAAATATCTCTTTGAACTTGTACGTAGGAGACGAAAATGAATGAAAATCAAAAATATTTCTGACAGGACGGTTCACATGCTTCAAAATAATTTCTCTCTAACATACACCATGATTTCGTAATTTCAATAACACTATTATTTTTTTGTATGTTTTAATTTAACTTACAGCATGCTAATAAATACGGCTACTAAAAGCTACATAGCCCGCCATTGTACATTTTATAGAAACGAGCCGCTCATAAAATATGAAACTCAGTTATTATTTAAAAAGAACGGCGTGTGCTTTTATTACATATTGTATCAAATATCAAATAAGATGCACTATAAAATACAATAAGGCGGACGGTGAATTGAGTGTGAAACGTGTGAAGGCCCTCATTTGCCTCAATGAGCGAGACAATGCTTTGGAGCGAGAGATACAAAACTCTGCAGATGCTTCCGAAGCCACTGAGGGCCATCACCGTTGAAAGCGAGTGATAACTTAAAAGCTAAACCCTAGGTTAGGTCTTAATCTAGACTACTGGTGCGGTGTGTTACTCCCCGTGTTGATACCTAGCGCATTGAACAGTTTCGACTTTAGGTTCATGCGTGGCTCGCTCGCTTGGTTCGTGCCCTAAAATTGAAACAAAAGAAAACAAAACAAAATCAAAATGTGCGCAAAAAAGGACAAAAAGCGTGTTCGTGTAGATATAGTAAATCACACGGTGTCATTTTAAATAATTATAAAAAAGCAATTATAAAATTGTAAAGAGATACATAATAATAATATTATTGAGTCTAAATATAAAAGTATTGGACTAAACCAATAAGCATAAAATAATATTATAATAGGTCATGAAAATTAGAAGGTACACTGAAACTGAACCAAAACATTTATTTAAGAACTTTAAATGTCTAAAATGCACATTTAATGTACAATTATTTTCCCAATTTCATGCCCCATATTGATTTGGAACACTGCCAAACAATTTTTTGACAATAACAACATTACGACAATGATGCACGAATTGTGAATATATCAAATGTAATGGATGATATATTGAAAGTGTATAATTTTGATATTAGATTTTTTTAGAATTAAAAAATAAATATATCGTGAAATTGCTTCAATTAAGTAGCAACAATATTTTTATAACACCAATAAAAAGACAAAATATTAAAGCAATATGTAAATTCATTGAATCATCTGATGTGATGTTTTATTAATAATGCATAATATATCTAAGCATTTTCGACTTTTCAAATCTGAGCATTTTCAAACAATTTATTATTTTGAATAAGATATAAGAAACGTGTACCTATATATATATATATATATTTTCTTTTAAAAAAGAAATTTGTTCGTATAAAATATAGTAGCATTCGTTGTCTTAAAATGTTCGGCATAGTATTTATAATGGTTTCGGCCCCTGGACAACTCAATGTCGGAGCAAGCTATCAGAATAATACATTGTAATACGTAAAAATATATGAACGAAATTTTAGGGTTATAGATTTTTATAATAAATGAGATAGGGAGGAGATATGCGTAGTTATTTTTAATTATAAAAAATTGATTTAGAATCAAATGCAACCGTATGTGAACTCATGAGAAAAACGTGAGAAGTGGTCGATACAAAATGAGACAACCCCGTATCCTCAGGCTGTGACAAAATACAGTATAATCTCACTAATCCGGCACTTCGATAGATCGGCACGTCCAATAATCCGGCACCCTCCGCCCACGCCTCCCTCGCCCCTCTATACCTGTGCGCTTCGGTCGCTGCGTCATCGACGAGCAGTCTAACCTCAAAACTTATCACGTGCACGTGCTTACGTATTTGTTTTTTTTTTCCAAGTGAGAATAGTTTATAGTTAAAAATGTCAAATAAACGCAAACACAAGACACTAGATTTGAATAATAAAATGGAGATTTTAAAGAAGTTAGATAGTGGAGAAAACATGTGCAAATTGGCAAAAGAATATGGTGTTGGGCGTGCTACTATACACGATCTTAAGAAAAAAAGGCAAAAGATAGTAGACCACGTCAAGACAATGGAATCGGGGCCAGGAAAGCGTAAAACACTAAAAGTTGGCGATTGTCCAAAGATGGAAAACGCTCTTTACATGTGGTTCTTGCAACGGCGTTCTAAACACACTCCTATATCTGGAGAAATTCTGAAAACCAAAGCAATCGAATTTTATAAAAAAATTACCCACAAAGATGATTTTCGTGCCAGCGATGGATGGCTGGATAAATTTAAAAAGCGATTTGGTATCCGTCTCTTAACAGTATCGGGTGAGAAATTATCAAGCGACGAATCTGCAGTACAGCCATTTATCCAGCATTTCAAAAACAAAGTAGAAGAACTGGGTCTTCTTCCTGATCAAATCTATAACGCAGATGAGAGTGGTCTGTTCTGGAGACTGTTGCCCAATAAAACATTCGTGTCTTCTACAGAAGCAAGTGCACCAGGTCGTAAAGTGAGTAAAGACAGAATCACATTCATGCCGTGTTCAAATGCTACTGGAACGCACAAATTGGATTTATTAGTGATTGGCAAAGCAAAAAATCCCAGAGCTTTCAAGAACATTTGTCTGCCAGTCTGTTACAAGAACCAAAGTAGAAGTTGGGTCACGAGAGAGGTATTTAGCGAATGGTTTCATAAAGACTTTGTCCCAGAAGTAAGAAAATTTATGAAAAGATCTAACTTGCCCATAAAAGCTTTACTCGTACAATGTACTTGACAATGCTCCAGGCCACCCAAACGAACAAGAACTTAAATAAAGTGATGGGAATATCCAAACCATCTTCTTACCACCAAACTGCACACCTTTACTGCAGCCGATGGATCAAAACGTTATCCAAAAAATAAAGTCTTTGTATAAAAATAAATTGCTGATCCATATTATATCTCAGGATGGTGATATAACGCAGAGCCTTAAAGGAATGAATTTGAAGGATGTTGTATTCTCTCTCGCTCATGCTTGGAAGTCTGTTTCATCTAACTTAATCCAATCTTCATGGAAAAAGTTATGGCCCACAATGAATGATGTATCAGAAACAGAAGAAACAGATGAATGGGATCCTGAAGATAATATGCCTATTGTCGATTGGTTAAAAAATCTATCAGAAAAAGGATTGGAGACAAGTGAGGAAAATTTAAATTCTTGGTTTGAAGGAATCGAAGAAACAGAGCAAATTATGACAGATGAAGAAATAATATCTGAAGCAGTACAAGAAGAAAGCTTTGTAGAAATATTAGAGCCACCAACTACTACAACTGCTATAAGAGTTAAACCAGATAATGCATTGATGTGTTTCAATACGTGCATAACATGGGCAGAAGAAAACGGCATGTCTGCCAAA